GGCCCACCCACCACTATACCCAGGTAGTTTTTCTATTTTTAGTAGAGACAGGATCTTGCTCTTGTTCAAGCTGTTCTTAAACTTCTGAGTTTAAGCAATCCACCCGCCTTGGCCTCCCAGAGTGCTAGGAATAGGTGTAAGCCACCACTTGCCCAGCCAACAGAATTATTCTTAACAACGTAAGAAAGGGAGAGTGAAGAGTCTGGCAGGAAATTAGGAAATGTAGTAAAAGGGGAAAATATCCCTTTCACTTAGTATGGTATTTCTTAATCTTAGTATTCATTCTTTCTGAGAAGCCTAAAGATCTCAGATAATCTTTGTTCTTTGACATTTCAAAATAAATAAATATTATAACTTAAAAACAAGTAAAAGCTGTAGTAAATTGAGAGCTTGGTTTCACAAATTAAACACATTTCCTATCCCTGGAAACTGTGATACATACTACAACACCCTTACTCCTGCTGCTACCACCACTGGCCTCAAATACTGCTGCAAATTTAACAAACTTAACAACTGTATGGAAGGATATGTCACTTGGAAGGAAAAGCAACAAGGAACTTACTTTATTAATTTTCAATGCTGGTAATGTTTCTGCATCTGTCTTCGCCAAGTGAAGTTTGTTTTCTGGCACATACAGTTCTTTTACTTCGTAAGAGGCATCCACAGGTACAATATCCTATATAACAGAAGCACAATTCCATGTTTGATTCAACAATTTTGAGTTTGCCAAAGGATATCTTAAGGAAGAAAATTAACATTTCAAAATGGGACCCAAAAAAGAATAAAAGAGAGCTCTGAAAGCTGTGCGCCGCCCCCATTTTCCTAATGTTAGTTGGATAACATGCCACATACAAAAAGTTTTAAGCATAATGTCCCATTATCTAGAGGGAAAGATTAAGTTCCTAAAATACACGATATATGTCAAAATCAAGCAACTGCAGATAACAGGTGGCTCCAAATAAGGTAACGATAAAGAAATTGGAAGCAAAAATGGCAAATCACTTGAAACATTCTCTAGCACGTCCTGGCTTCAGGGCCAACACCCAGTTGCCACACACGAAGCAAGTCAGGATAATCAACCCTATCAAGGATTCCAGTAACCACCTGAGACTCTTTCTCCAAGCCTATTACTCTCTTTAGGTGCACGAAATCGTTTCATTCCATGTTCTATGTGAACCTTTGCCACTTGTGTCACAAAAGTTACCTTTTTACTTATTAAGCAACACAGTATTGCAGAATATGTGAGCTTTATTCTCAACGTTATGGTTTGAAAAACAGCATTTTTTGATCCCATAAGAATTGTTGCCTCGAACTTTTTTTTTTTTTTTGCAGTTTTTGGCCAGGGCTGGGTTTCAACCCGCCACCTCTAACATATGGGGCCAGTGCCCTACTCCTGAGCCAGAGGCGCTGCCCTGCAGCCTGGAACTTTTATCCAGGCTTGAAGTATTCATTTATATCAACGTGACATTGGGACAGTGTTTTTTCCTCATTGAGTCTACAAGTATATATTTGTGATTACCACAAGATACCCACTTACACACTGCTCTGAGGGAGCGCTCCACAGGGCTTGTTCATACGCCTGTCATAGCCCTAGGATGAATTACTAAAATGCATTTAATCACTTTCACTTGTTTTTAAAGCCAAGTCTGTCAGGTGACCTCCATAACCACAGAAAATTGGCATTGGCTGAGGGCTTTTTATACATGTGTCCACACAGTACTTTCTTAATCAAAATAAAATAATTCTCAAGAGAATGAGAAAAAATATTGGCAAGAAGGATGTTTTTAGATAATGGACCGTATCCAAAATATACAAAGAACTCTGAAAACTCATCAATAGGAAAATGAACCCAATTTAAAAATGGGCAAAAGACCTCACCAAAAAAGATATACAGATTGCAAACAAGCACATAAAAAAGAAGTTCAACATCATAGGTCATTAGGGAATTGCAAATTTTAGAAAAAGATACCATAATACACTAATTAGAATGGCCAAAATTCAAAACACTGATACCACCAAATGCTGCTGTGGACGCAGAGCAAAGGACACTCTCATGTGTGGCTCGTGGGAAGGCAAATGGTACAACCACTTTGGGAGACAGTTAAGTAATTTGTCACAGAACTAAACATACTCTTGCCAACAATTTCACTCTTTGATATACACCTAACTGAGGTGAAAAACTTAAGTTTACACAGAAACCTGCAGCACACGGTATTTATAGACATTTACTAGTAATTGCTAAAACTTGAAAGCAATAAGATGTCCTTTAATGGATAAACGCATGAACAAATTGGAGCATCCAGAGAATGCAATATTAATACTATTCAACACTAAGAAGAAAGAACTATCAAGCCATGGAAAGGCCTGGGGGGACCTTCCATGCACATGGCTAAGCGAAAGAAGCTAATCTGGAAAGGCTGCGGACTCCACCTAACGGACACGGCATTCATTTTGCTGTGAACCTAAAGTCTACCTAAAAATATACAAAACAATTTTAAAAATAATCCAAAATAAAATATTAACCAAAAAAACTGAATCTATAACTGAATTTATAACTGAATCTACACACTCCACTATTTTTCCTGAAGAATACATTTAAAAAAACCTTCAACTTATCATTTGGTTTTACAGAATATCTTCAGTAAAGGATAAAAGACAAGGGCCACATCTAAGTATCAAAGCTACTTGAGCTCAAAAAAGGCTTAGGTGACCCTGCTCAGGCAGCCCCTGTGAGTTCTGAGAATCTAGACAGAATTATTCTCCTCCAATTCTCCCACTCTCCCTTCTCCGTTTCCTCAAAGACAAAATAAAAAGACCACAGCCACAAACCATTTTATTGCTTACTGAGGGTGAATACCACATGAGGGTCTTAAAAACCAGTAGTGAAGAAAGGAAGCCCACCGGCTGCCTCTACTTTCTCTTTGTAGATATAAATACGCATTATACAACCATATATTGACAGGGCACGTTATTTCCAATGAACTCATACAAAAGACGGCATGTCTGACGTTTTGCTGAAAGTTTCAGAGAAGTGGTTCCTTCTGAACATACACAGTTTATACAAAATATGTAACTGTGTACCTGAAGAGGAAACCATATGCAGACAGAAAGACTCCTGTTTAAATCTAGCAAGAGATACACAGCTTGTCTTCCTGCTCCAGGAATTATTTTTAACATCATTATTTAAAATCACAAAATACCAATGAAGAGGATTTGCAAATGAGAAAAGTAAATTACCCTATAGCCCTGTACATGGTTATCACTGACATTTTTCTATCCTCTCTTCCAACTGTGTTCCATCCACAGGCACAAGACAGGACAAACTAGTCTCAGCAATCTATACAAAGCCTATTACTTCATCAGCTAGAAAATAAATGTTCAGAATAAGCTTTTCCTGAAAGGACACGATTTGACTACATGAAGTGAAAGGCACATACATACTGCATTTCAACTCACTTCTTGGATATGTAAAGCTCCCAGAGATGCCCCGGGGCATACAGAACTGCACATTCAACTATAAACTCAAGACCTCAAATCTTCTATACACATACATACACATACACACATCCCTCCCCCTCCCCCGCCAAAAACCCTCTAAAATTAACTGAAGCTACACAAAAAAGTCAGGCATTCATTAGGGCTTCTGAGAGGAAGAATAGGATACAGTTTCCCAAGAGACTTTAAAGTTAAATATTTACATGAATCATAAAACTTCAAGGACATAAGATCATCAAAACAAAAGAGAGATACAAAAAAAAGCAACAGGGATCTACAGTGATGTTCTCAGTACTAGAAACATGACGAAAAGAGAGCACAGGCTTTTTGTACCTGGGATCGGAGTTCAAATTCTAACCATGCAACCTTGAACATCTCACCCATTTCCTCCTCAGTCATTTGAAAACAAAATGAAAGATACATAAGACACACACATATATGTTACAGGGCTGTCATGACAATTAAATGAGTTGAAGTGTCTAAACTGTGGGGGCTAAAGTTACCAGGATGCTGACCACAACACCTCACCTTGTTCTGAGACAATGATTTCTCAATGAGTGTGCCACAGCACACTGGTGTGTCATGAGACGATCTCAGGTGTGCCGCAAAAAGTTTTAAAAATCATTAAATTATTTTCAAAAGAAGTTCAAAGCACAGTAAGTATATTCTTTTTTTTCCCTTTTTTTTTTTGATCAACATAATTTAAGTATGCCATGAAAGTTTAACTAAAGGCTCAAGTGTGCCTTGAGATAAAAAAAGTTGAGAAACAATTCTAAGAGATTAATTCATTTAATCTTCACACAATCCTACCTATGAAGGTTAAAAGAAACCTTTGCTATCCTCCCTTCGCAGAAGAGAAAATTGAGACCCAGGAAGGGTCAGTGACTTACCACCAATCCCTGCAACATTGTCTTCCAATGTACTTATCACAATAAATAATAATAATTATAGTATGCTTGCTATTTGCCAGGAACCATTCTAAGTACTCTACATATATTAACTCACAAAATCCTGACCTTGGAGGCAGGTCTACTTATTATTTATCACTTCACAGATGAGAGAATTAGGCTGTTTTTTTTTCCCAAGGTCACAGAGTTTAAGTGTTGGAACTGGGATTTCAACTGAGGTCCCAGTGCTATTCTCCTCCCCACCAAAAAAAAAAACAAAAAACTTTACTGTTTCTCTCCTAAAATCTAAGTTATGAAATATTCTGTCATACAAATTGTTCTTAATGCATTTTCATCATTTTATTAAACATTTATAACTCCCAGGTTTCTGGTCACCATGTGATCTATCAATGTGCTCGTAAATTCTAGACAAAAAGTAAAAGTACTCGACATTTCAGTTAGGCCTGAACAATTCCACTAAGGGTAAGTGAACAATTTTGTCAACACTGCCACTGTGAATAAAATTAAAAACCTCTGTTTCCACCACTTTAGACCCCTTGGCACTTTGAAAACCAGAATATGAAGTCTGGTAAGAAGAGATAAGGGGACCCCAGAAAAGAAAAGAAGCTCATTCTCAACTTCCAATGGTAAGAACTGCTCTATATAAAGCTCTCTTTGGATCCCTGAAATCTATACAAGGAGGGGAGACCCTTTTGAAGGTTCTGGTAGGGGTCTGCTGCTCTACCCCTCTGCGGGTACTTCTGGTACTATCAACAGTCTTGGAGAGTCAGAAGAAACCATTCATCAGACAAATCTTCCGGTCTTTACTGGAGGTGACAAGGCATTTTTAGCTAGTTTGCTAAACCTGCAGCTCAGCTCACAAATACCGATGAATAGTAATAGTGTGCATGGCCCACTGCGATGCTCCAGGCACAGGGCTGGGCCCCCACCCTGGAGCTGTCCCTCTCCACAGCCCTACAACACCAAGAGTGCACTAGGTATGTGACTCCATCCCTCTGAAGAGATGCTCCAAGTAAGAGCTACACAAAAGATAATGTCTACACTACAGTTTCCTTTTTTTTATTTTTGAGACAGAGTCTCACTCTGTCGCCCTGGACAGAGTGCCACGGCATCTTTGTAGCTCACAGCAACCTCAAACTCTCATGCTCAAGTGATCCTCTGCCTTAGTCTCTCAAGTAGCTGAAACTACAGGGGCCTACCACTACACCCAGCCAGTTTTTTCTATTTTTAGTAGAGAAAGGGTCTCACTCTTGCTCAGGCTGGTCTCAAACTC